GACAGGGGCAGCCTTCTACCACAAGGTGGGTATACATTGTGTATAGAGTGGGCAAACCACATATCCATGGTCATGACAGGGGCAGCCTTCTACCACAAGGTGGGTATACATTGTGTATAGAGTGGGCAAACCACATATCCATGGTCATGACAGGGGCAGCCTTCTACCACAAGGTGGGTATACATTGTGTATAGAGTGAGCAAACAACATGTCGATGGTCCCGACAGGGGCAGCCTTCTACCACAAGGTGGGTACACATTTTATACAGGGGGAGCTAGGGTTTCAGGACACCAAGGCCGCATTCGTTTATCACAACCAAACAGTTTGTCCGGAGTTGTTTGTTTATGAAATAAAGTCGGACCTAGTAATCTGATGCTGCTTTCAGGCAAGCCTTGACAAAGTCTTGCAAGGCCTGCATAACAGACAAACCGGTTGAACCGTATTTGCAAAAGGGGTACAAATAGATGGAAATCAACTGTAGGTACACGAAAGATCAGTTGATAGCAGTCCTTAGATACTGTAAACATACCTATTTTAATGACAGTTTTGTTTTAGTGCATTTTATGCTAATTCAGAAGCTCTAGATTCTGAATTAGCATAAAATGCACTAAAACTGCTTAAATTTACTCTTATATTCCTGCATGTCATATTTTCATCATTTTGTGTGTCACTTGAAGAATGTAAGTTTGAAGAAATATGAATGCATTGAATAAATAAATATACATTTGATATAGGGCCCTATCTAGCTAACATAAGCCACTCTAAAGCGCTTTACAGTACATAGATATACAATTTTATACAGTCAATACAATTAGCATATATATTAATCAATACAATATTGAGGAATTAGCAGGAGCTGCCTTATCAGGTGCTAACTACTAGTCATATGCCACCTGGCTAATATCTCACTATGTGTGTATGCCTGTGTGTGTGCTGGAGGTGTATTGTGTTCTGTTTGTAGTGGGACCGTGCTTCCAACGGTATCATTTATAGTGCCACCTCACTTGTTGGAGTTGTGTGGGCAGGAGAAAAAACACTTTCTCTAATATCCCATGCGTACGGCGACTTGGGAATCTATTAGAAATATATTTCAAGTTCAACATTTAATGCATAGGTTTAACCGTAGTTTGGGTATGAAGTATCAAAGTAAGATCACATCTTCTTCTGACTTGGTTAACAGGCATGTAATGAGAGAAGTAAGACATCCAACTCGTGATTAATTATCCAATTACTGTGCGACAATTAGTCCCCCACTGGTACTATGTTACTGTCATATATAATTGCCAATTTTGAGTATCTCTGGGGATGGCACAGTATTTCATACTAGGTGTTGCACCCCGTCCACTTAAAAAACATTTATTGCTCTTCGTTCATTTTTGATACGAATGTTACTCTGTAGGTGTGATTGTAGAACTGGATTGTTCGTATTACTTGTTCATAATTATATACCAGAGAAATAACCTGAAGTTTAGTTATACCTGAGAAAGAACAGTTTGAAACTCTAACAAACTAAATTGGGTGAGCATTAGTCTGTAGTGGGATTGTAGGGGACTGGATTGTTTGCAGTAAAATGGTAGGATATATCGTTCCCACTATTATCAGGCTCTGGAAATTTTAGGAAAAACACCTGATATATTTCCTATTTGCCCTTACAGTATTTCAGCTACCTGTACTCCTTCCACATGTCGGAGATCCTCAAGAACTGGGTTGATGAACACATGAACTGCGAGGACATTGCCATGAACTTTCTCATTGCTAACATCACTGGTAAAGCTCCAATCAAGGTGACGCCTCGTAAGAAGTTTAAATGCCCCGAGTGTACCAATACAGAAATGTTGTCGTCGGACATCAGCCACATGGTCGAAAGGTCAGAGTGCATCAACAAGTTCACTAGTATATACCAGGCCATGCCACTCAAGATTGTAGAATTCCGAGCAGACCCTGTACTCTACAAAGACGATAATATCCCTAATATTCTTAAGAAATACAACGATATAGGAAGTTTATGATACCTTACAAACAGACGATGACTGTACTTCAAACCTTTTTTTGTATGAAGTAATCCCTGCAAGTGCTGTGTTTAAAAATGTCTTTCAGCTTTATATTTTACAAGTCGTGAAGTGTATATAGACCGAGACAGTGTGTTGAACAATGTTCAACCCATGAAGAGGTTTTGTTCAGTATTCGTTATCTGACATTGTCCTACCAAGGTCTGGCAAAGAAAACATTTCATTTTAAAGTGTTCAGCTTTTGTTCATAGATTGCTTTTTTTGTGATGTGATTTCACTATGGGAATCTCATTGACATGGAGACCATAGCTTGGAGCTTCTCTAGATTGTAAGGTGCTAAAAATCTTCTAGTCTCCGATCAACACAATCACAGAAAAATGGAATGCTGTATTAATTGCTTGAAATAACTAGATCTAAAAGTTTACTAGACAGATCTAATGTTGAGTGTAAGATGTTGATGGTCAAAGGAAGTTAATTCTACAACTGATGAGGTCAGCTTTTGTCTGCTTCATCCACTGTTGTTTATCAATAGAACTGACCAACAATTTAACCCTTTTTCTATATTCTATGGACAGAAGTGTATATATTATATTTATGCATTTCATTTTAATGTAATTTTAACACCAGTTTGTTTACCTTGAGCAAATTGCATTTGCATTTTTTAGAACAAATTTACAATTTTTTAGTTAGACTATACTATGACAAGGTGAAACATGGTTCAGTGCTGGAACTGAAAATGCTGTGTTGTTTTATAAAACAGTGAACATGTGTGTGTCAGTAATTAAAACTTAGTGTACAGCTAGTTATACATGTGAATTTGTGTGTGTATGAAAGGTGTCATTGTGTACACATGTAAAGGTGTCATTGTGTACACATGTACTTCTTATACGTTTATAAAATGCTTCAATTTTAAATTTGACGTTGCATCTGCAATAGTTGATTCGTCTTTCAATCATGATCCATATAACGAAAGGTTGTAAAAAGATTTATTACATTAGATATCTAGTGCCCAGTTGTTGTTTTTTCAATTTTTAATGTGTTGAGATTTAAACTAGACATGATATTCTAGTAAATAATGGTCACTTTTCTTTGTTTTCATACTTTGTCCTCTTATATATGTGGGGGACCAATTTATGATGATGCCTAGAAGTCAAACGTCACTGTATTTAGACATCCATTTATCTGTATTATAGGTATGCTGTAGATGTGAAGGGCTCGGTGCATAGCACATACGTAATTTTTACAGGTATTCAGTCTGTTAAAAAATCACGTGACACTATTGATGTATTAATATCTATGCTACTTCATTGAAAGTCATTGATATCTTTATAATAAAATAATTTTACATGTACATTCCTGTCTTCACATTATATTTTCTGGCAGTTCATTTTCCATGTAGCTCACTATCATCTCGTGTGTCGCTGTTAAAATTGCTATATTTCCATGGTCTGTTATCCATACTTATAAAACTGTTTCTTTTCCATAAGTGCTTTACAGATATTTCTTTTTAAATTTCACAGTCTTGTTCCCCTGAGGTCCATAGCTGAGCACATTCAATTTTGGAGCTAGCTGTAAAAACAAGATAGTTACCAGGTGACCATCTTGGAATGACAAAGCTTGTAATTGCTATTTCTGAGAAAGTATGATGGAAAATTTGTTGCGATTAAATCCACCTTATAATTATAGATCCTACTCAAATCGCTCTCAATACCATACTTAAAGTGGGTGTTGGCTCTATTTCCTTTAAGTTTACTCAACATATTTTAAAAAAGATATAAAGCCTTATGGTAATAGACCCAACATTTAAGAAGCTCTGAACTTTCCATTTTTACTAACTTTGAAACGATATCCAAAAGAACTTAAGAAACAGTACTGGCCCTGAGATGTGGCTGTATTGTAACTTACTCTCACCAGTACTTGCCCTGAGATGTGGCTGTATTGTAACTTACTCTCACCAGTACTGGCCCTGAGATGTGGCTGTTTTGTAACTTACTCTCACCTATCACACTACTTATGATGCTTCAAAGACAGCAGTATTCTTAAAATACAAAGAAATAGAAAAGCATAACAATAGTGATTACAATTACTGAAAATCAACGAGAACTCTTCAGAAACATGGTGTCAATTTCACAGAAGCGCCTGCCCATTAGGAGGGGAGATAATCCAATCGAAATCGGCAATATTTAAAATGTACACAACAAAATTGTATTGATACAGAAATTAGTTTAATGACATGTTTCATTGAGAATACAAAAGTAAATAATTCTACATTTCTCTTAATACCTTCAATTGTGTACAAAACACATTGTTTTAAAAACACCATGTACTTCAGTTTTGTACAAAATGGCAAAAACTTAAAAAGAAAAAGGCATTTGGCAATACAGATTAATATTAATGTAAAATCACCAAAATGTTACTTAAGTATTAAAACAACAAAGTGCAGTCCTTGATGCAATTACAATAAACTTTTTACAAATTCACGATGCATGATATTTTCACAAACAACATTGGCATTGTACACTGTATTATTTACAATAATCAGCATTGGATTATTTCAGAAAAGGGGAAACGGAAGAGATAAGTCTGAGAGAAAAAGAAACATAGTTTGAAAGAAAGAAATTTGCAGGTCTGGTACTTCGAGAGAGTCAGATTTTCCCAGCAACATTTTTGACTATTGACATAATCATTGAGCAACATTTTTTCAATTGAACTGATGATCTAAGAAATTATTTTGATTTGACATAGAACTTGGTGCTCTTGACTTTAACAGCTCTGAACAAAACTCAGACGCCAAGATAAATATCAGCTTAATGGCTCAAGAGGGTCCTACTAGTTTATAACCACACACCAAAGTCTCTTCCTAGGCTTTGATCATGTCTGTCCCTACACACGTCAATCTAATTTTATTAAAACTTTATTAGACCACCGTCCTGATTTCCTAATCAGAGATGTTAGATAAGGCATTAAGGGTTAACAACAGCATACAAATGATTTTGTCTGTTGATTTATGCAATTTAATATATGAAACCATGATTTTTACGTCATGAAATAAAACGAATTCAAAAATTTGCGGAGTTAAATAAATGAAAATGGTCCTGTAGTAATCTGTTAATAAAAATTGAATTAGACGACAAAATTAAATCACTCTTTTACAACGGCTACAACTGTTGATAACAAAGGACAGGCATTCATTGGACCAGTGACCTGTTACCAGGCAAAAGATGATTCCATATCGTGAGTCTGCCACTGTGGGCTGCATTCGGTAGTGATTAATGAAATGTTTGGGACATGTTAAATTGATAAAGAAGTCTAACATTTACCAGCTAATGCTATGTTCAATCAGATTCACCAGTTTGGAAATATGTAATATCAAAGTTTTACTTTATACACAAGCAATGTACATATCAAACGTGTCGCAACATTTCAAGACCTACTGGTCCCTTTGTTAAGCTATGACCGAGTGAGCGATTTGTATTGTTTACCTGTACAACGATGTGACAAAATTGTATATTTCATATGTCACACGTCGACCTGGGATGTTTCGCCTATCAATAGAGAGTGTATAATCACACTGTGTCTAATTGGTTACTGGTAGGTTATAAGCAGATTGCTCTCTCAGTCAAAGCTTGACAAATGGACCAGTCGGTCCTGAAACATTGCGACATATTTGATAAGTACATTGTTTTGTGTATAACTATAAAGTAAAACTTTGATACATTTGTATCTCTAATGCTACGGTCTTATTTGAAATGTGAAGTTAATTGACTCCAATAAATTCTACTGAAAATCTTAAACTGAACCTAAGGGTTTGCACTACCAGTAAATACAATATACAGGAGTACATTTTAATCAGTCTCATAAGATATAACTATTCTACAACGCTCCAAAACAAATGTTTCCCTGGTGTAGTTTAACATGTGTCGTAAAATGTTAGTCTCTATTGTGAAAACAAATAATACAGGTCTTGTATATATTGTGTTCTGTGGAGATGCTTATATCTAATTTCATTGTGACTGAGGATAACATGATGAATAAATAAACCTATAAGTATTTTGACTTTAAACATTTTATAGGACAGTCTTAGGTCAGGTCAATTTGTGAAAATAGATTTTACCTAGCAACACAAATGTGCTAGAACAATGGAGTAACAACAGCCCTGTACATGTGTGACCCCTGTAATAATAAAAGCTGTGAAATTGTCGTCCTTTTTCATGATTTCATGGACTCGTTGTCACTTTTGCCACTACTAAGGCTGTGTATGAGTGCTGCTATCTGGTTATGTTTGTCCACATTGGATTTCAGCTCACGCACAACTTCAGTTTTCTCCCTAAGTTCTTCTTCGGTCTGTTGCACCGTCTTCTCCAGTGTGACCACCTGTTAGCAGAGGAAAACAATCTCATCAATAAACATATCATTAATGCAGTAAATATCATAGTTTAAACTTTTCATTTCGATCTATATGCATTAAAGAAAATAAATGGAATTTGGAGGTACACTCCACACTTTTGACCAAATCAATTTTATAAACACATTTTATTTGCAATACTGGTATGGCAGACAGTTACATACAAACAAAAGTCAGTAGCACTACTGTATGAAGAGATACTATTGTCAGGTGTTTGGTTCAGACAATTTATGCTCTTACTCTTTCAATAACATTGTATACCAAAGTTCCATTCTTAACCCTTTCACCCCTATGTAACTTTAGTTGACTACCATGCATTGATGTGGATGAGTCCAATATGGTTTACAGCAGTGAAAGGGTAAAGTATATTTAAATAAAGAAAATAAATGTTATGAAAGCTTTATCATTGAAATAAGGATACTAGATACTCGATAAAATATAAAATCTTTCAAACTGAGTCATGGTATGAAAAAATGAAAATCTTACCTTTTGTTCGAGTTTCTTTTTGATTTTATCTGTACTATCCAGGTTTGCCCTTATTTTATCTAAACAGTCCTCAAGTTTCTCTTGTTCCTTCTTGGCTTTAGTGTGATCTTCCTCTAGTAGTAGCTGAGTTTGAGTGAGCTCTGAATAAACACAATTTTCCTTCATTTATGTTGGGATTTTAATTAGACATTCTTTTCTTTAAACAAAGTACTGTATACTGTGACACCTTCACTACAATACAATTTTGCCGTTTCCTCCTTCTGTACTGAGGACAATTTAATCATGACACCAAGTAGTTAGTTAGTTCACAGCAACAAATCATCATATACAGTTATTACATGTGAAGGGCGGGTACGTGACTCGGCAAAAGCGTCCCGGTATACAGCATTTTAATCATCCTCGATACTCCAGGGGTTAAGCTCACTTTCGTTCTCTACACCCCTGGAATATGTCATAGCAAAATCGAAGGCTCAGTGTGTGCCACCTTGTGGCTGAGACAGGAAGACTAGTTTGATCCTTTAATGTACATCAAAAGAATCTCCCGGTCCCGTAACGGTAAAATAGACTCGCTTTGAAGTCGGGTGTCACTCCTTTGTTATCTTCAATGGACAGGTGTCAGCCTAGTGATTGGTTAGTTTTTTTTACCAGAGACCAATCAAATAGCTAGCTGAGTGTTTTCAATTTTGCTATGACCTATTCCAGGGGTGCAGAGAGCGAAAGTGATCGTAACCCCTGGAATATTGAGGAAATATTTTAATGTGTTATCAAATATGGTAATCACCTACTTAATCTAAGACTTACATCATCACTCTAGGTGAACTGTATACACTTCCACCCTTGAAAGACCTGGGACATTCCCTTGGTACATGTATAAGTCTATACTCCTAGCAATACCACACTGTCTTTATCACAAGAGGTTCTGTACAGACAAATACATTCACATATCTTCTTGCTACACATCCATATGACAGGTAAGATTTCACTGAAAACTTCACACTTATTTGACCTTTGATCTAATGTTAAAAGTGACTTTATGATTACAATGTATTGATAACCTTCTGTGGATGATGCAGATACATTGTACGTTTATCAAGATATTTTTAATAGTTTAAAATTATTGCCCTGGCAACATTTCACCGGAATTTTGCACTTACTTTACCACCCACCTTAAGGTCTGGGTAAGTGACCTAATTAAATGCAGTGCACGCCTTCTATGGATGCTGCATGGAAATTTGAAGTTTCATCATCAAGAAGAATCAGAAGAAGAACCAGTACTGTTACACTATGTCTCCCGTCATTTAAAGACGAGAATATTAATAACTTTCCAGGAATGTTTCTCTGAGTAGAATTGAACCAAAAAATAAAAGATAAACAGGCTATTTATAATATACCTGAACTAAAAAAAAAATGAACTGCTAGGGGACCAGTAAACAGGGCATAGGAGACAGCCTTGGCTGTCTTAATGAAGCTAGACTAACAGATTCTTACCCGACGCCTTCTCCATAGGAGATACCCTTGGCTGTCTTAATGAAGCTAGACTAACAGATACTTACCCGACGCCTTCTCCATAGGAGATACCCTTGGCTGTCTTAATGAAGCTAGACTAACAGATTCTTACCAGACGCCTTTTCCATAGGAGACACCCTTGGCCGTCTTAATGAAGCTAGACTAACAAATTCTTACGCGACACCTTCTCCATAGGAGACACCCTTGGCTGTCTTAATGAAGCTAGACTAACAGATTCTTACCCGACGCCTTCTCCATAGGAGACACCCTTGGCCGTCTTAATGAAGCTAGACTAACAGATTCTTACCCGACGCCTTTTCCATAGGAGACACCCTTGGCCGTCTTAATGAAGCTAGACTAACAGATTCTTACCCGACGCCTTCTCCATAGGAGACACCCTTGGCTGTCTTAATGAAGCTAGACTAACAAATTCTTACCAGACGCCTTCTCCATAGGAGACACCCTTGGCTGTCTTAATGAAGCTAGACTAACAAATTCTTACGCGACACCTTCTCCATAGGAGACACCCTTGGCTGTCTTAATGAAGCTAGACTAACAGATTCTTACCCGACGCCTTCTCCATAGGAGACACCCTTGGCTGTATTAATGATGCTAGACTAACAGATTTTTACCCAACGCCTTCTCCATAGGAGACACCCTTGGCTGTATTAATGAAGCTAGACTTACTGATTCTTCCCCGACGCCTTCTCCATAGGAGATACCCTTGGCTGTCTTAATGAAGCTAGACTAACAGATTCTTACCCGACGCCTTCTCCATAAGCTGTTTGGAGAGTTTGGATAGCTGTTCCGAGGCCCTGTAAAATACAACAAATCTAACATACAACCTTAATGTTTTGGCATAAAGTGTGCTCAACAAACCTCAAAACTGACACAAGAAAGGAAAGTGTTACAAAGCATCCCTATATTTCATTTGGCTGGTTTTAAATGAAGCAGGAGGACAAAGTACTATCTGGAATAAGGATAGATTTGGGATATACTGCAAAGTGATACACACGTGCAGGAACATTCTTCAACTGATCAAATGTTACGGCCCAACTCAAATTTGATGACAGAAACAGATCCTTGATTACCAAATAAAAGTTTACTCCAAAGCCACAAAAGATGTTGATTAACAAACTACTAACAATTACAGTTCTTCGGAAGATTTTCTAAACATATCTAACTAGTCAGATCACTGAATGATATTAAACCTCTATATAATGCCCCAAGTGATATTTGACACCATTTGTTGAGGTTCTCTTATCTCTTGATGTTAATAGTTCTTACACATTTCCCTCAATATATTGCCAAATTCCTATATAATGACTGCATTCTGCTTGATTCCACCAAGAACTGGCGGTATAAGGAGGTTTTACCGTCATTACTTACACATCATGCTGGTGTTTTAATGATTCGTTGTGTTTATTTAACATTTCATGCATCTCCATCAGCGTCTTGTGTTCCTGTTTTAGACAGAGTAACGACTTCTCAGAACTTTCATACCTGGAAAAAAATTAAAATTAAAAAAAATTAAAATAAAATTGGCATTTGGAAATCTTTTTTAAAATTGTAAGCATTTATAATGTTGCAACACCAAATCTGGTAATAATTCAGTCAACTACCAAAGAGTATTTTAAGTAAAACAACTCTTTCACAAACTGCAAATATATTGTACTCCTCCTTCTTGCTTAATCATACATGTTAGGATAATTAAGAAATGGAAATGTGTTTGGCTAGAAAAATATATAAAGAAAAAAAAGGTATCAAATTGTGGGGAAAAAGTCTCAATCCCATTAAGAATGGTGGCCAATGTTGGCCCTGAGTATATACACACAAAGAGTCTTGTTAGAACTGTTTACAATAGATGACATACTTCTCTGACAGCTCCATGTAGGCCACTGTAAGCCGTTTGTGTTCAGTCGCCACTTCTTCAAGTCTGTAAAATAATGTCATCAATTAAAACTCACACACAGTGGAAAATGTAAAGTTGACAGTTACCTTATAATCCTGGGACTGAACTACGATCTCACATATTGGGTACAAGTATAAAGTAGACATCCCCCATTCCTGGGGCTGAACTACGATCTCACATATTGGGTACAGATATAAAGTAGACATCCCCCGATTCCTGGGGCAGAACTCTTATTTGAGTGGGTAATATAAAATAGACAGACATATCCCCATTTAGGGGCAGCACTGTGATCCTAGTTTTCTTAATACTGTCACATCAATCATGATTGAAGCGTTTTTTAATTTCATTGATTTCCTAGGTAATCTTCATCCACGAATTCATTGGTCCACAAAGTAATTACAATATTCTCCATTTGAGTGGGTACTCTTAATCCACAAATTCATGTACCCGTGAAATGGTGTTTTGTCGTGAAATCATGAGAATATCTTATTTCAACATAGCTTTTACTACTGAAGTTACAAATACAATGTTGTCTAATTACCTTAGAAAACACTTCAAACTGTTATATTTTTACCTGGATAAATGTTTGTCTTTCCTTCTTTTAAAATCAGTTTTCCTCATACTAAATTTGCCCTGCTGTTATAAAATGTAAACATCAGACAGATATCAATACTGTGAGATATGAATGCCCCAGCTTCCATGCAAATTACTGTCATTGTTTGGCCAATTTTTATGAATATTATTTGTGACCTAATCCATTCAAAGTGTCTGGAGAGTGGTGACCTACTTGTGTTTTTCCTGGTTGACCTGTTCCAGCTCGTTCTGTAGGTGTTCCCCTTTCAGCATGACATCATTCAACTGTTCACGGTACTGTTCACTTCTCCTCTCCGAATCCTGAACCATGGACCTCATCTTGTGTGCCTACAACACCAGCATGGTTCACAAATAAAAACTCACATCGATTGTGTGCTTATAAGATTATCTTGATTCTCTTCAAATGTGTGTCTACAACATTACCATGGGTCATAAATACAAGCTCACTTCACTCTGATATGATGGAATTTTAAGAATTTAAAAATACTTCAGACAGCCATGATATGGGTCTTAAATTTCAACCGTGAACGGAAAACTACTAAAATAGTGGATACTGGAATATTTCCGACGCAGTTTGATTTTCACCCTTTTCACCCTCCGCAACAGTGGCAAATGTATTGTGACATAAAATATTGGTACTCAGCATACCTAATATAGTAACTATGTGTGAAAGGCGAAATTCAAAATGAGCGAATATGGAATTTAGCTGTGAAAGGCATATATTTGAATGGGGACTTGATGGGCCCCACAAAATGTAATGAACACTTTTTAATAGTGACATTCTTACTGGTGCAATAACTATGTGAACTATCAATAGTTATATTTATCACATAATGTACTGTATTATCCAGTGAATATACCCATTTCATATTTTTTTGCATATTAACCTATGTGATATGACCTATCAACCCTTTGATTGGTTGTAAGTTGCAATTGTTTCAATTATGACGTCATGCCTAGGACAAGTACATGCCGTCACAAACTTACGCACTGGAGTCAAAATGGCGGCTTTTACATTTCAAGGTTGCATGAAAATTGCCGTTTCACACGAATAAATGCCACAAATCTTGATTATGTGATAAAAAGGATCTTTCACTCCTTTTACATTGCATATGAAATTTATGAAACTCGTCACAAATTTTTCATTTTAGTTTGACAGAGGCTCGCTAAATTGATAAATTCTTAAACACGTTTCATAAATCTCATATGGAATGGAAACTCATGTAAGATCCTATATATATACTGTTTCATATACCTACGGTAGGGTGACCAGTAAACTGGTCAAGTTACTCACCTCAGCCTCATACTGCGCCCGGCGAGACCTGTACTGAGCGATGAGTCGGTCAGCCTGAGACAAAGCTAGGGCCTTAGCATCCAGTAAGTCCTGTAGCTGGTCCTCCTTGGTCTGTATAATATCAGTCAGTTATATCATATTCTGTACTTACAATACCATATGGACTAATAGAATCTCTCACCCCATTGGGGGTGAGATAGGGGAATCTCAACCCGAGGGGGAAGATTGTAAAGTTGCCAAACATGAGGTTTGCCGATTGTTTGGCAACTTAAGAATCTTTCCCCCAGGGTTGAGATTCCCCTATCATAGTTGGAGGGTTGGATTGTTATCTCTAGTTGATAAAATTATTTTAAATGATACCTGTGTCTCTTTCTCCATTCTCAAAACAACTACATGCGTTAAATATTATAGATGTTGATACAGGATAGCTAACAAATCTGTTTGAAAACTGTGTTTGGTAGCCCTACAATTCAAATATTCTATGAAACACCCAAACTGGTAGGTAGATTTACAAGTATTACCTGTAGGGACTGAAGCTTGTGTTCGTAGATATCAATGATCTCGGACGCCTTGATCTCGTTCATCTGTAATGATAAGTTAATGATATTATCAGTCCCATGTGAACTTTGTTTAATAAATTAACAAACAAAACTATACTGTATATTGGGAAATGTTTGTTGCAGTTTGACTTTCGCCTTTTTCGCCCTCCGCAATGAAGGTGAATTTATGATGGCAGCGAACATTGGTACACAACACACAATATATAGTAATGACATGTGAAGGGCGAAATCATCACTGGGCGAACTCATCACTGGGCGAACATGGATTTTATCAGCAAGTGGAGAATATTTGACTGGGCAAAAGTAGCCAGGTATAGTCTCACCCAAAAATAAATCTTCTCAATCCCAGGTCTCCAAAATAAATGTTATATCCACTGTTTGATTTTCTGTTTATAATATTACTTCCATATTAATTAAATTCTTTGACTTGTGCCCCAAAACAAAACCTGCAGTGCAGTCCTGTGTTTTCCTGAAATGATCCTTAAAGCTTAATATTTAGAAGCTATAAAGTCTAGCTATATATCCAACAGAAACATGGCAATGAATCCACTAAAATATGATTTAAATACCGTACAACGGTTCACTTTGAAGAGAAGCAATGTAACACTTATTAAGACCCAAAATATTTCTAACATTAGCAACTGGGCAATGCTGTTAAAACTATTGTACAACTTCATCAAAACTTCATCAATAACAAGTACTATTTGTAATGGGGACCATTACAGATGTCCCCCAAACACCAACGCAGCTATGTTCCAGTGCATGGTCATGGTCATTCATTTGAACAAACTTGGTAGCCCTTCATCCCAGCATGCTACAGGCCCAATATCATTTCCCTGGGCCTTTTGGTTATTGAGAAGAAGTTGTTTGAAGATTTTAAGACATCTGACCCCAGTGACCATGAAAGTGGGTCATGGTCATTCATTTGAACAAACTTGGTAGCCCTTCATCCCAGCATGCTACAGGCCCAATATCAGTACCCTGGGCCTTTTGGTTATTGAGAAGAAGTTGTTTGAAGAATTTAAGACATCGGACCCCAATGACCTTGAAAGTGGGTCAAGGTTATTCATTTGAACACACTTGGTAGCCCTTCATCCCAGCTAGCTACAGGCCAAATTTAAGTACCCTGGGCTTTTTGGTTATTGAGAAGAAGTTGTTTGAAGAATTTAAGACATCGGACCCCAATGACCTTGAAAGTGGGTCATGGTCACTCATTTGAACAAACTTGGTAGCCCTTCATCCCAACATGCTACAGGCCTAATATCAGTACCCTGGACCTTTCGGTTATTGAGAAGAAGTTGTTTGAAGAATTTAAGACATCTGACCCCAATGACCTTGAAAGTGGGTCAAGGTTATTCATTTTAACACACTTGGTAGCCCTTCATCCCAGCATGCTACAGGCCCAATATCATTACCCTGGGCCTTTTGGTTATTGAGAACAAGTTGTTTAAAGTAAAAAGTTGACGCCAGACAGGGTATATTGGTGTACTTGCCTCCTTTTGATAGCACAGATCTGATGCCAACTTTATATTGCTATCTGACTGAAATACCATGCCGAAGGCACCCAGCATAGCATTCCGCCCAGTCGCATTATACTGAAAACGGGTGAACCAGTTGTTGCCATTACCCTTAATGCTGAACGTTAAGCAGAGAAGAACAACTACCAATTTTAAGGACTTTGGAATGGCTTTGCATTTCTCACCTGGGCGAACATTCAACATTAAAGCCAAAAATGAGGTACTGCTAAGTGAGGCATTAGGAAATAAAGGTAGTTAGAAGTAGAGAGAAATATAAAGATCCCAGCTATAGCAGATTTATTTGGGTCGCTTTTGTGTCCCCAAGTAGAGGGCAAGAAAGCAAATCTTGCTAATTCTGCAGGGGGTTCCCACAATAGTCGCCTCTTACAATACATGCAGTAGGTAACAGCAGGTGTATTTTTTTCTTGATCCCCCAACCTGCAGGGGTGTTTTCAGAAATGTGTCAGGACAAAATTTTACGACGAGAAGAATAATAATTAAATAATAAGAAGGAAAAGAAACGGAGCAAAAAAAATATGTCCCCACACTTTGTTCGGGGACATAATTAGAACTATGGGAGAACTTTTGCTCTCAATATACAATGTAGGACATATTGGCAGATTTCTTCATCCATGACATGCTTGTTAAGATATAAGAATTTCTTCCAGTTTTAATATTAGTCACTAAAGTTATACTACTATTAGGAATTAGTGTTAGTAGCATACACACAAGACTTTCTTAAATATACAAAGCCAATCCTAACAGTCAGCAGTTTGGTTACATTAGAACCTCATTCAGTGGTCCAATCACTGTAAAATATTCCACTTTTGCTATTTAATACTTAAGCCAACAAAAATTGTGTTTAACAAGTTAGAAACTGCAGTATTAACAAGCCATTTGGATTGATAGGTCTCGCCTGTGCCCCGCTTTGACCTCAATGCACATATCAGAGACACTAGCTTAAATACAAAAACTCAATGTTGATGGAGATGCTGACAAAGTCATGAACCATGAAAGGTAGGCCGCACCAGCATTGGACACATGGGTTGAGATGTAATACCTAAGATGCAAGTATGGTCAAAGTTTGGTTGGTCTAGCACTTATACTTTCAGTGAAGCTAACTTAAACGCCAAACCTTTAGGTTGACGTTGCTGTTAATGCCACCGCCATTGCCGGAAAAGCAACACCTTAGACTCGCTTCCGCTACTTCGTGACAGCGAGACAAAATTCAACTTAAAGTAGTAATAAATTTCCTGTTTTGATGACTGGCTATGATCACACAACAAATTAGCCACTTAAATCACCCATAAACAATATACAGTACTTCCATTTGCATATTTTTCTTTGTTTCTAAAGGCTTGGATATGGGAAAATTGCATTTAGCAATCAGCTGACAAACTCCTATCCACCAAACTTCAGGCACTGATGACACGCCAGTCGCACAAGAGGCATAAATTTGACCCCTGTGACCTTGAAAGTGGGTCAAGGTCATTCATTTGAACAAATTTGATGGCCCTTATCCCTTTATGCGGGGCAAAATATCACCATATCCCCTTGATTATTCTGAAGAAATTGTTTTTTTTAAAAAGGTTGATGCTGTTTATGGGCACCTTCAGGTAGATGAGCTAAAAATTAATACAAGTTTTCTTCACAGAATGATACAGATTATTTCAACTTTGTAACAAATTATTGATCAATATGGACACATGTGTAACAAAGTCAGTAACAAGTGACTAGATTGTTCACCACATAACAAGTGACTAGATTGTTCAAACACGTTATTAAAAACCATCACTCATTTGTGCAATCTGATTAAAATCATCTGTTACATGGCTCCGCCTGAACATCTGAATGTGCCACGGTCAGGGTCACGTTCAAGTGACATTTAGATGAACCAATCAGAGGCACGCTGGCAAAAGTTTGCCAGCGAATCGGAATATCATGGTTGATAGATAAATAGTGAGGGGTATCAAACAGATTAGTTTTCCAAAACAAATATGGCGGCGGTAACTGACGTTTCTACGACGCCAAGGAAAACGTACCCATTGGGTAATAATTGCGTAGGCAACACCGCAATACAGTCTTTCTTCTCTATTATAAAGCTTCGAATATCTTTTTCTGTTCGGGTTTCAGACAATCAATCTCAAATAACTTCAGAACACCGCGGCACACTCAGATGTTCAGGCGTAGTACAAAGTTAACAGCGCCCTTTTGCAAAAGGGTCTCTGATTGGTCAAAACTTAATGAGTATTTATTAATATAAAGGTCACCTGAACGTGACCCTGACCGCGGCACACTCAGATGTTCAGGCGTAGTACAAAGTTAACGAAGCCATGTAACATATGATTTTAATCAGATTATCATTTGTGCACAGCAAGTCAGTCAGAGACGGAGGATACTGATACCTGATATCTATATAGGGCCTAAATTAAAATATTGTTTGTTTCCCCTTTATCGACCCAAACATAAATCATGGGTAGGTAGGTAGGGAAATTATTATATCTATTTTTTTTTGGGGGGTAGGTAGGTAGGGAAATTATTATATTTTTTTTATTTTTTATTTATACTGTAAGTAGTTACTTAAAAATCAAACAGAATACCAGTAGTACAAGCATAAAAAAAATGATCTTATTTTAAACAATTAACAAAAATATAAAAAAGATGTCTTTCTGGAAAATGTCAATAAAATAGTTTGGGTAGGGGATATTTTGGTGGGTAGGTAGGTAAAGGGGAAACGAACAATATTTTAATTTAGGCCTAGCCGATGTGATATACCAATACACTGTCCAATTAGACTTACGTACCTAGTACCATAAGATACCGATATACCACCTCAGAATCTGGTATGCCATAATACCATTAAAATTAGATTAAGTGGTCTTGTACACCTATACAATTAGATATACCTAAAAAATAAAGTACAACAGACAACAGTATATTCTGATTTATCTTGGACATCTTGTATACCTGTACCATTAGATGTACCCAGGTAAATCGGAGCAGTCTGGTACACCTATTTGAAATTTAAAGATAATTTTTTTTGTACAGGTTTTATTTTTGCTATCATCAATACACAAAAAATAAGACAACTACAAAACAATATTCTGCTATAAATCTGGAAAGGTTGGGAGAAAAAACGACGCAAGAATTACCAAATATTCAATAAAAATCTAAAACCTTGAAAAACGAGCATTCTGTGGGTATTGATGAATCGATACATGTCCTCTACTGGCGCCCCCAACAGATACAGCAAACAAGATATTGCAAGGAACAATGTTTTCTAAAACACAGTAAAGACAATGCGGAACAATCGAATGCCCTTACTTTCCCAATATCATGTCCTTTAATAATGTATTTGTTATATTCAATAGGTGAAGCAGGTTTTAGACTTTGGCCAAGATAGTAAAGTCAAAAACATGTCCAAAATTTAAAAGAAAAATCAACTGTCACTTAACAACATCACAATGCTAGACCCTAAACTATCTCTGTAAATAAAATCAGCATCCTAACACTATTATTAAGTGTCAGAACGGTGAGTTATTACAAAACTTCAACCAAAGGTAATGGAGGACAATTGACGGACAGACAGACGAAGGGACGCAGACAAAACCTATAGTCCCCCTCGGTTTCACTGTTGGGGACCAATAACTAGTAAATAGTAGCTGGTAGTTTATAATAATACTTTTTGTCTTGATATTGGACTTCTAGGCATACCTGTTCAGTATAAGTAATTGTCCCACTAGACAAATGATTGGTCCCTTTAATATCCAAATGGAGTGACACGTTACCGTGACATACCAGGTGTTGTTTTTTATGTAGAGAGTAGGCATGAGTATCAAGTATTTCCAAATTCACCTTATTGCAGACATATATTTTCTTCTTAATAATCTGCAATCCTTTATTGCTTCAGAACGAATTCTGAGCAATATATGATATTTTGACTTTACTACATGAAACTAAAATCAATGAACTATAATTAATTTTTTTAAACAAACAACTCTGTATAAAACTGAACAATATTTAAGACAAATAATAAATTTAAACCCTAAACATGCACAATGCCGACAAATGCAAACACAAACATCAAAGCAAACCTTAGGTTAGATACTTACATTAACATGGCCTTGAAAATAGGTCTGTTAATATCAAGGGTCATTTTCAATTCAACATAAATCATGGAGCAGAGTTTGGAACAACTTTCCAACATAAGATTTCTTTTTAATTGTGGAAACTCTCTTCTTCATGATATGTTGAGCTTGTTCTTGCAAATGATAGTCTACCAGAATAGAAGTTGATGTTGTGACAATGAGAAAAAGTTTATAATCACAACAGAAGTTAAGGACAGCGAAGGATTCATTGTTTATAGGTATATATCTGTTTACCACAACATAATGAGAAAATATGATTTTTTTTCGTTCAAAAATATACTTTTTTAAGATTGTGCATTGTTTGTCTTATACATGAAAATTTTGATTCGTAAAAGGAACAACAATAGATATATAGCAGAATTAAGGCTGGAGTTTACCTATATCTATTACGGGGAAAGTTACTTCCTGGCTTTAAGAGCTGACATAGGGTAGAAAATGTCTTTAATTGAAAGTACACTATTCACATTCATACTAAATATATATCTATGGAAAATGCCAGATTTACCTAATTCACCCCTGAAAACACATTTGAACTCTTCCAATTCAAAGGTTTGAATAGTTCATTGTGAATTTTCAGGGGTTAATGAGTTAATCAATATCATTCTGAATTCCATCGAGCAAAATCTCTTAAAAAAACTTATGACATATGAGTGCTCTAATCTAGAAATATATTGAAACACATGGTGCATATAAACAGTGCACACCTACATTAAGTACATAACGAGTCCTGGAGATTCTTACCTGTAGTCCTGACTGCATCCTCTCTATAATGGAGTTGATGGAGGCGTCCTGGTTCATGGGATCCTGTTTCTGACAGTGGTTGCCTAGGGGCATATTTTCCTTGTTACGGTACTGTGTTACAGCCAGAGGTTTAGGCTCCACCTGTTGCCACCCCAATGTTGGACTGGCAGTGAGACGCTCATGTTGACGGGTGTTATTAGCAGCTATAGTATCTCCCAATCTACAACCACACACATCAAGTCAACTGAAACTTGTGTTAACCCTATAACTGTATAAGACCATATAACTGTAGTGGGAAAAGTATATGCCCCTCTGGTAGTACCAGTAGGAAAATATAAGGCTTACTAATTGAGCATGAACACAAAAATTACATTTTAAATTATAATACAACAGTTTACCCCTTCGGGAACCTCAAAGGTGCCTGATTCATACTCGGAACATCTTTAGGTTATATGTAATTCCAGTGGGGAATTTGGAACGCCTTTAGGTTTAATGCTATTACTGTTTAAAAAGGAAATCTATATCTGAGTTATCCAAGAGCTTGTAATTAGCGCCTGGTATATTCCGACAGAAGCAAGATACACAACAGCCCTCCTAACAGAGGTCAAAATCTGGGACTGAAACCAAAATTAATAGTCCCCACTGGAGTTCCCCCAGGGGTGACTAAAAATTTGATATTATACATTCACTATACGTACAGTACAACTGGGAAGCTGTCTAGGGTCGAGGCTGTGGTGATCATTTGAAGAGCTGTCTGGACCCGTGACCGATCTGGACTGGTCATCCCCGCCGACAGAAATGGTACCAGGCGACTGTCCTGATAATAATTAATTATAATGAAATGCAATATCAGAATCAACCGATTTTATACTAATGCATAAAAAGTGTAAACTAAAACAGAACCACGCCCAAAATATCCCACTTTATGATAGGAAATAATTCAGAATTGAATATAGCCTGCAACATTTAAATGAATTCCCTTTCATCATTGCTCACACATAAATGTTTTGTTATCAGAATTTATCAAAAAACTTCATTTATAACACCAAAAATTTAAATGCAGCCAAATAAATCTTGAGTACCAGTATACAATATTACATTATTTCAAATATCCTTTTACCTGTAATGTGGAACAGAAGAGTGCGTCCACATCAGGAAGACTTCTCTTCAGCTTCTCCATTAGCTCCAATCCACATAACACAACGTCTACACCATACTCACTGTAAATGAAAAATGTATGCTTTATCAGTTTAGGACGAAAAAATATCTCAATGTGGAAATAAATTTTACTGCAGTATTCGTAGCATTATAAGGATGTTACCTTAACCCCTTGTAGCATAGACTCGGCACGTTGTGTATTGTTTTAGTTACAACTTACGATACATCTGTCTATAAAGCTTCGTAAAATAAATTCAGTCATTTAGAAGTTTGTGCCTGGACAAGCATCTGAATGAGTTGACCTTTGATCCCTTTACCTTGACCTTTGACCACAGACTTGATTGGTATGAGACATACAGTGGTGGTACATATGTGAACAAAGTTATATCAGAATATCTGCAGCTAATCTAAATCTATGATACGGATACAGAATTTTATGACATAGTTATGGAATGTTGACTACTGTATCCTGGGAAACTTTCGCCCAGTCAGACTTTCTCCCTTCACATTCAATAACTATGTATGTTAAGGGCGGATTGGTCGAGTGGTTAACACTCTGGCTTTCCACGCATGCGTCCGGGGTTCAATCCCCGAAGTCGTCGTACGCATGGGCATTCAGAGAAAGTGTTTTTCTCCTGCTCCAACAACCCAGGAGGAGACTAAAATGGTCTAGGGTGGATGTTGCAGTATCTGTGCTGTAGCATTCAAGTGAGGTGTCNTATTGGTCTGGGGTGGGTGTTGCGGTATCTGTGCTGTTGCATTCAAGTGAGGTGTCACTATAAATGGTGCCGTTGGAAGCACGGTCCCACTACAAACACAACACATTATGACTCCAGCACCCACGCAGGCATACACACATAGGGAGATAGTAATAGCGCCTGATAAGACAGCTCTTGCGAATTCCTCATAATTGTATATTTATGTACTGTAAAGCGCTTAAGAGTGGCTTATGTTAGCTAGATAGGGCGCTATATCAAATGCTGTATATTAGAATTATTATTATTATGTTGTTGTTAATGCCTTAATTATGAAGGACGAAACAGGCGAAATTAAACTGCAGCGAAAATTCCCCAGTATACAGTATTTCTTCTGACCTTGACCTTCAGTTGATGATCATGAAAAAGTTTTACATTACTGTAACCTTGAACTATGGAGTAAGGTCAGGGGCATTCAAATGACCTGTGACATTCAACAATCTCAAAAGTCTAATAACATTCACCCTGAAATTTGGAAGCTCAAAATGTATGTTACATAGACATATCCTTTTACCCTGAAGATTCAAAGCCGGTTTTTGGGGAGTCAAAAACATGCTCCCAACGGTCTACTGAAATCTCTGGGGTGATAAAATCAGTATCTGACCAAATGTTTAACAGGGATACATCTGTATACAAAACTTCATAAAATACAGAAGCAAATTATAAGCTTTAGTCCAGGTGCCAAATGAAGGACAAAACAGTTGACTTTCATATGTTAATGCAACCTTGACTTTTAACTAAGAGTCATGAATGTGACATGTGTGAGTTCTTGTCTGGTAAAACATTAGAATGGCCAGACAGCGGATCCCTGTATGTGACCTTGACCTTTGAGTGATAGATGTTGAGCTGCAGATGACCAATAATTCATGAAAATGTGGATGCTTTCATGCTTGATTTATCACAAGATATTGTAATAGACTATCAGACAACGTTGTGAACCTCACCTCCAATCCTCATCAGGGGAGACCACTTTGTTACAGCGAAGCGCCACCCTATTGTAGGTAAACTGGTGTTCCAGCAGACCCGAGAACAGGCTCATGTCTACCATCTTACACAGCTTCTTCTTGGTATCCTCCTCACCAGCGAACACTGAAAGGAGGGGCAATAGTGTCAACATAAAAAAATACTTCAATTACTCATAAAAAATCTTACACAGCTTCTTCTTGGTATCCTCCTCACCAGCAAACACTGAAAGGAGGGGCAATAGTGTCAATATAATAAAATCTTACACAGCTTCTTCTTGGTATCCTCCTCACCAGCGAACACTGAAAGGAGGGGCAATAGTGTCAACATAATAAAATCTTCAATTACTCATAAGAAATCTAAAATTTTAGTGGAAAAAACACTTGACCAACATATATTACAAACACTTTTTATATGTAATTACTGACATTCTCAGGTCAGTCTTTTCGTGAGTTTAATATATATTTTAGCACCTTTAGTTGATGTACAGTAGGAGAAGGATTATTTATTTGGAGGAATTCATAAGTCTAAATACAAGTGCCTGTGCTCTGTATGGTTTTATTTTGTAAGCCTAAAACCTCAATGTTTTCAATTTTCCCAACCTGTATTTATTGTTGCAAGGAGAATTTAAACGCTTCATTTTATTGGCCCTGTAGCTATGTACCTGTGAGGAGCTGTATGACCTTCACCATCTTACAGCACTTCCTGCGTGACTCTGCATGTTCACGGTCGGGCGGGTCTTGTAGGCCATGCAGCACGGTGGGAAGGACGAGATCTGCGTGGATCGAGTAATGTACCCTCGTGTTGGAGTAGATCAGTTCCTGTACAGTAGCATATCAATGTCACAGAAAAATCCAAGGATTTAGTAATCTTGTCTCTTCATTCATTTTGGTGATTAAAAGGTTGGAAGTTCTTGATTTGAAAAATAATTGATGTTCTTCATGTACATGAATATAAGAATAAGATCAAAACTGGACATAAAGGCTTATCTTAAAAAAATGGCAAGTCAGTACTCTAATACCATCAGGAATCAATAGATAACAGTGAATAAGAGATTTGATTTGCATTTCATCACAACAAAAGAAAAGAAACGATCATGGGTAATGAAATTTATAACTCTAGATGATGACTTGCCTCATAGAACTCGGTGAGGAAGTCCAGTGCATACAGGGGAGCCTTATTGTGAGAGTCGGTGGACTGACCAGCCCAATGGACTGCGGCAATCAGTGGCTCCTTCACCTCAGAGACTGGCTGTCGAAGGGACTGTGTCACGTACTCATTGTCGTGGAGTGGAGACGTGGCCAGGACACACTTACAGATTGTACTCCTCAGTCCTTCAACGCGGCAAAACAACAGTAAAAGCTCAAACACCTGGAATCAAACATAAATAAGAAGTGATTTTTGTAAAAGAGAGTTACAGAGTCCCTCAAACTATTAAATCTACAAAAAAGTACTCAAGTTAGAACTGTCAATTTTTATACCACATGCTATGGAAGACATCTTTGTTGTCTGATTGAAAAAAATATGCCTATGAATTATTATAGCATCTGTTTTTAAACTGACAATTTAATTTGCTTGTGATTCACATTTGCTTTTGTCTCATAATCTTGGTAAAAAATAAAACATATTAATCATATTCACCATCATTTGTACACTGCCTACATGATAATGTTACAATTACTGCATACATTTGTAAACATCAAAATATCAGCATACCAGGTACCTCCTTACAGGTATATAGATTTACAAAATGTTAAACAAAATGTTTTCAAAATGTATTCGATAAAAAGATATAACAAATTAATATGTTCCACCAGGCCTAATAATGAACACATACAAAGCTTACCTTAATTACTGACTCAGGTGTACTGGCTGCTATGAGATTTAAAATATTTTCCAGACAAGATCCCAACCTGTCAAATCTGAAAGACAGAACAATCCAACATTTCACAAGACTTTCCTACAAATTCAAGTTTCAACAGCATAAAGATTCACAAGGCAGAAGCAAACACCAGACTTATTTTTCTGTGTTTATTCATTTTCAACCCAGTAATTGTACTTTCTATATAGGAATGTGTCAATCCACCAGTTGAGTATACAATGATCAAATTACAGGAAAATTAGAGTTATCTCCCTGGTTATATTACTGACCTTGTTTTTAATACCAGGACAATTTAACAATGATATTGTAAGAGTAATAAGCTCAGACTATTTTTGCCCAAAACAACCAGAAAACATCAGTTTGTAAGACATGAATTCAACCTTGCCCTAAAGGCAGTAAACGAATGGCAATGAAACTTTGGACAAAATAAGGATGGTTGACCTATAAATAGCAACAGTATGGTGGTGAAAATCTTACAAAATGAAGTTTGTAGAATTGTCACACTGAATCACAATACTACAGAATGGGACAGACATCAGCAACAATGCATGCCCCAAACAATTTATATGGTTGAGGATAAAGTTTCACTTTTACAGCAAAATAAAAACCCACAAAAACCACAAACTTGCATATATACTAAACTTGTAATTTAATAGCAGTATTGGTGTAATATTGTCATAAATTCATACTCCAGATTACAAAATAATGAAAGTAATATAATGTTAGGTATGAAAACACTGTCATGATTTCCAGTCGTCAATGATTATATTCAGAGTATGAGCACCTCGTAAATTGTCATGTTCCAGTGGATATTATTGTGAGTATCAGAACTTTGGGTATTGTCATTATTTCAGGTTGTAAATGATAATAGACAATCAGTGATGAACATGATGTGAAAGGTCATTCTGACATTGTTTTAACAGTGCAATACCTTGACAAAGACTGCTGTATCTTAGGATTGCGTAGGAGATCCCGAAACAGGTCAACAGCATACCCTCGTGTTACACCCGTGTCACTCTTCATCAGAATGTTGAAGATCATCTGAAATGTCTGGTTGATGTTCTTAGCATTCAGAATCTGAAAATGAACAAAACAGATATTTGTTATTGACAATTATATCAAATAGCTCAATATTGTATACAAAATCTTCAGTGTCAAAATTCAAGAGGAAAAATACACAATACTTTTTAGTGTACTACTGATTAAAAACTACATATTTATACATTGACTGATATGTTTAACACAAACGGAACTTATGCAGTGGCCCTGCGATTGTACCAAATTTGCGGCCAATAAATTGAAGCTGAATATACAACATAATACCCCATGTCAACCTCAACCTATGCGGAAGAGTGTGGTTTGCCTGCATGTTAATTGAGTCAAAGTGACATAACTTTTCATCTTTGATCTACTTTTCCTTAAAATGATATTCATACCATAACTCCATAGCGTGATTAAATCAATGGTTCCATCTATCATTTGACCTGCTTATTTTTGTTTTCATGGTAAAATGATGATCACACATCAAACAAAAACTTCCTTGGTTGAATAAAAAAATAAAGTTGCTCCTGACAAAAATATACCCAAGTACCTAACTTGATTATTCTTTTTAACTAGTGCTGGGTCAGCGGTCAAAATATACATGTAATTTGCAGTGACCTACTTCTGGTTGGTAATACCCTGTCTTCAAATTTTTGATGTTCATGCTGCAGAAACCATTCAGACGGATGGATACTGGGACAAATGTACAAGGTGAATATCTAACTAAAGATATTATTTTTAATTTCTCATTTTAGACATCATTTTCATGTAATATCTAACATATACAGATAAAAGATATCTTCTTTAATTACTTCCTTGATCATCCTAAACCTAATATATATACATACCTTACCACCCAGGTCCTCCTGTAGAGACAAACTGGTGATGATTGACAAGGACAAAATGATGACCGTGAGGTTTTGGTCAGACAGATACGACACCAACACTTTATACAGGGCTTTAATGTTTTCCTGGAAATCAATACATCAGACAATCTCTTTACATGGCACCTTTGTCACTGACTTTCTAATCGTTTTACAAAAATAACTACAATACATTAATAGAGTTGCTTATTCTATCTCATGTGTTTTATTTTTAGAGAGTAAGTAATAAATGCATTAAATTTTAAGAAGATGACATTCTGAGACACTTGAAGAGTTATAAATCATAGGTAAGTACAATTAAAATATTTACAGAACATAAATATATACATTGACTAGGATAAGTATGAAATGAAAGTTTTGAGAAAATTTGCGAAACATATTGTATAAACTTTCTGCAGCAGAATATTGTTAAAGGAACGTATCTCTGTTGTCTTCTTATATTTCTAACAAATAAATGACCTCTGACTTGAAAATTCCTTTTTGTATTAAAACTTGTTATGATCTTTTGTGAAAAATTGGTGTAAGAATCTGTTCTATATTTACTTCATAAAGCTAGCTGAGATCCTTCAATTCAGCTGTAGTTTTTATAGCAATGGAAAAAACATAATGGTATGTGTATAGAGTTGATACAGTGCCTTAGAGTTAGTCTGGACAAAAGTTTTTTTCACAAACAGACAAGATTGGAGATGGAACATGCAAGCTAATTCCAGTATGCACTTACATAACAAAATTCAGTTGTGAGCAAGAACTTTATTACTACATCTGTAATTGGTACTCACAGAGTTTTTAAGGTATGATTGCACAGCAAAGTTGTCCCGGCAGAGATTGACCAGCAGTCCTAGACAGGGGAGGGTGAGTTCTAGGACAGGCCCGTGTCTGTAGTACACAAGTTATAGAGCTATATTCACAGACACGATATACATATATAATATATCGTACAGCCATATATAGATAGCTGTATTCAAAGACACGATATACATATATAATATATCGCACAGCCATATATAGATAGCTGTATTCACAGATACAATATACATACATAATATATCGCACAGCCATACACAGAGAGCTATAGATACGATACTCAAAGTATCACATTGGAAATACAGCTAATGTTTGTTCGTCTTTTAAAACTTGTATGACACAATGATGGCTTGGATAAAGATATAGAATCTAAAAATATTTCACACAAGAATAAAAATATTTAAAAACAAATTGCAGATTCAACTTTTTCTTTGCTTTCATCGGCCATATATACATAATACTGGCCAATACAGCTACTGAATAATTGTATAGAAGTTCTCATGCTGACACTTTGCAAAATATTCACTGTGGTACACAAGAGTTAAAAATCTGAAACAAATTTATTGCCAAATGTTTTACAACAAGATGGTCAACAGTCAAATTTCAGGTACCTTTTTTGGTCACTTGCAAATGCTCACAAGTGAGTAAAAAAAAAACCAAGCAGTTCAATCAGACAATGAAATTGTAGATTTGAAAAGCAATACATTATTCCTATAAATTATCAATACACTTATACAAAATATGACAAATAAAAGAGGGTATTAAAGTTGAATTAATTACAAAATAATCTGTGCTGTGTGACTAGTGGGAAACATACTATATATAAAAAGGTTAAGCTGAACTTGCATTATTAACTAGTGGGAATGATGCTAAAGGTTAAACTGAACTTGTCTTATTAACTAGTGGGAATGATGCTAAAGGTTAAACTGTCAGAACTTGCCTTATTAACTAGTGGGAATGATGCTAAAGGTTAAACTGAACTTGCCTTATTAACCAGTGGGAATGATGCTAACTGTTAAACTGAACTTGCATTATTAACTAGTGGGAATGATGCTAAAGGTTAAACTGTCAGAACTTGCCTTATTAACTAGTGGGGATGATGCTTAAGGTTAAACTGAACTTGCATTATTAACTAGTGGGAATGATTCTAAAGGTTAAACTGAACTTGCAAGATTAACTAGTGGGAATGATGCTTAAGGTTAAACTGAACTTGCATTATTAACAAGTGGGAATGATGCTAAAGGTTAAACTTACCTTGCCTTATTAACCAGTGGGAATGATGCTAAATGTTAAACTGAACTTGCATTATTAACAAGTGGGAATGATGCTAAAGGTTAAACTGACCTTGCCTTATTAACTAGTGGGAATGATGCTAAAGGTTAAACTGAACTTGCCTTATTAACTAGTGGGAATGATACTAAAGGTTAAACTGAACTTGCATGATTAACTAGTGGGAATGATGCTAAAGGCTAAACTGAACTTGCATTAAGCCTGTTTACAAGTGTACATTTTTAAGGTTGCTTGGTTCAAGCCAACATGTGCTTACATTTGTTTAACAGTGAATGTTATTGTGCTTACATTTGTTTAACAGTGAATGTTATTAAGTCCTCCATGTAACTTTCCTGGAAGTTCATTTTGTGTCCATAGGTCACCTTCTGGAGCAGGCTCAGACACTGGAAGAGTAAAACAAAAGCCTCTTGAATCATTTACTGTCAGAATAATATGATTGATTAAGAGCCTTAATACTTGATGTTAACACAAATATCACACTCATACATAATGAAATGTATATAAAGATTAGACCAACATCAAGATTTAAAAAAAAACTTCATACAAAATCAGCCAATGAGATCTTTTATATGTGAATTAATTCTTGATTTTCGTTTTTTTCAAACAATAAACAAAAAAGATGTCAACCAAATGAAAAGGTGATGCAGCAGGATGACTACCATATAAGTACTGCACTTAACAATATTTCAATTTCATGACATTTGTAAGCATTTTTTTTTTTAAATATGGACCTTTAATGTAAAAGTATAACTGTACTATAAAACACAAAATCTTCGAGATAATTCATATACTTAAAAAGTATTAAAGCAATCCTTCCAGAGACTTGCAGCCTATATAGCATTTCTACAGTAAAAACATAAGGTCCTTACAATTGTCAAATTGTAACAGTATCTGGGTAAATCTTGTGTGTTTATACGATTTGAAAATTAACTAACTCGAGTTATATAAACACGATAACCAACTAACACTTGTTGGGGAACCTCTTTTAACCTTACTTCAACATGATAACCTTTATAGGTAACACAACCTTACCTCTGTTGATACCTAAACAATATTTAGTACACATGATAACCTCTATAGGTAACACAACCTTACCTCTGTGGAGAGTATGTCCCCAGCTGTACCCTGTGTTTTAAGAATCCCCGCCAGGGCAGGTGTCAAATGGAACGCATCATGTAAACATTGTCTGATCTCATCATCTGTGGCTGCAAACACAATGTATACCTTGCATAACACCTACATAGGATAACTTAGGTATAGCTAATTAATCATATGCTTTATTCTACTCTTTGTTCTTCTAACAACAAAAATCTTTTAGTGAAAAAATATTTATACTTAGAAATGCATTTTTTTGGTTTTAACTTCCACTAGTCTGACCTAAATTTTCATGATAATATAGAACATTTTCACCGGCCCCTTTATTAAATCTACTTTTCCTAAGTATCAGCCTAGTGGAATTGTGAACCCAATATTTGCAAAGTTTAAGAGAATACAAGAATCAGAATGTCTCTTCATAACCTTTTAATACTTCAACAGATCAACAACACAAACTAGAGTTCTTGCACATACTGTATCATGAACTGTTTCTTACCAAGATTCTGAAGAAGTGTAATACAACTCATCAGTAGTGAGGGCTTGGTGTGAGGGTCACACAAGATATCTATGACTGTCGTCAAACATTCTGTTGGCTGCAAGTTTTTTGGATTGAAAAACTTCAAACTCTTCCCAGAATGTGGAACGGTAATTCCTATTAAAATCTGGAAATAGAAAAAAAATAAAGAACTGTTAGTATGTATATTAACACAGAAGTATATGAAACATGTTCTCTTGATATGCTTTAGAATGACTAATTAAAAGAATGCATCTTAACATAAGTAAAATTAGTCAAACTTCACAATTGTAGATGTACTGCATTGTAGATTTAGTCTTTGATGAAAGGCTATGTTACTATACTCTGTTCTAGAGTTGAGTGAACTATTTAGTTTATCTGTGACCAGGGGCTCAACAATTTCTTTGTCATTCCTGGGCCCAGATTTTTTTCAACCCAGTAAGTCTGGGACCTGAAATGATTTTTGTAGGTCTGCCAACAATAGAAAGGTCAACAAATATTATTAGTTAAAAGTAAACTCTATTTTGAAGATTGAAACAACAACTTCAATTATGACTAAGTGCTAAAGATGGGGCATTTTTTGACAACTTGCAATTGGTAATATGTAGGTCCGACAGACTTTTTATCATATTTTTGGCTAGGTCCGCTAATCATTGTTTGGGGTCCCAGACATCTGACTTTTTTATTTCAGCCCCTGCATGACTGATTCAGTAACAGTAACTACATCACACAATTTAATGCAGCTCTTTACTATAAAAAGGTAACATTTAGCATCAGACACACCAAAATTTATCTTATCTGAAAAACTGAAACATATTTGGAATAAAACTCATCAGTTTGGTATGAATGATAAAGGCTAGTTTGTTTTGAACACAGGAATTGAAAACTTATTGAGCCAGCTTTTGAAAACGCCATGTTTCGTTAGCAAAGAGTGCAAACATTTAGCCTTTATGTAAACTGAAACATGTTTTCAGAGAAGTGCTTTATATAACAATACGAATCATGAATCGAACCAAATACTTATCGGACACAGAAGACTAACTGACCTCAAGCTGCTGTTGAAGGTAAAAACAATTTTTGTCTGCCTTATGGTTGAGGTACTGGTTAGCTGCAAATATCACAGACTTCACAACAGATGCTGCCTCCATTTCAATTGGTTGTTTCTCTAAACCTTGTGCAGCTGAAAAAGCAATGGAAATATTTTATTATTATACAATGTAAAAACATACTAATATTTTTATAAAGCTACTGAGCCTGTAATCTTTAAATCAAATTAAAAAACTCTTGAAACAGGTTTTACATAAACTGATCAAATTCACTTAACTAAGTTTCAACTGGGATATACTGTACTGGTGACGCAAGCAATAGAATGGGATATTCATTTCACAAAATCTTTGATATACAAAATTGTATATCAATAACTGTATAACATAAATTCTTACTTGGAACCCAGATTTTTAAAAGACTAGTGCCAACACTAATGATCTTTCTTTTTTTGGGAGGAGGGGATAATGTCATTACTGTTCCATAGTAAATGATGACTTTATGATGCGCTGGAATACTGTAATAGGAGACAGAATGATAAAAAAACCACAGATGGTCTGAATTTAAAGACACAACAAATGAAACAGTCATTTTAGCATCACTGTCACATATAAATACACTACCCCATACTTGCCAACTCTCCCTATTTTGGTGGCAGACTTCCGATTTCGGAACCTATTGAGCATTTTTAACCAGTGAATTTGTTATATTATTCCTTTTTTCTAAGATCTGCATGATGATTTCATCTGCAAAGATGTCATTTAAAAGTTATTTATTCCCTAAGGATCCGGAGTTCATACACATATTTTTATTTATGCTTTTAATTCTGAGCATGCTTATTCTCCCCCAAGGAAAATTTAAAAACTACGCAAGTATGCTGCCATTATGAACCAATAGGTACGTATACATAACATGGTCATTGGGACTTGGTGACATTGGTGATGTCTTCTTAATTCACCTCTCCATTGTGACATCCTTCCACAGTTACACATATCATATTTTATAAATTACCAGATCCAAAAAGCAGAAGCTAGATGGTACTTTCTCTTAGTGACCGTTTAGCAGTGTTAGAACTAAATGGTAGACCAATAAACAATGACCATGAAAAACATTCAAATAAAAAAAACATCATGGAATGCAACTGAACTGTAGGCCTAAACAGTCTTAGATCATCATCAGATATGTAAAATGGATGATAGACTTTAGTATCAACTTTGTACTTCACATTAAGCCCAAAATCAACATCAGGTTAATAAAAAAACATTTGGATAAGGAAGCAATGATTTAGAGCGATATGGTATTCACAAGTCACATATTATGATGCCTGTCAGATTTTATTGTGTATCAAAGTCGACTCATGAAAGAACGGTTTTAAAAGTAAAAGAAATCAACGACTGCCTGACGTTCCGTAACAAGTGCTTGCATGTAAAAATAGCTTTGTTTACACTTAGAAACGTCCAAATTTCTTCGTTTCGTAAGGATAAACTCCCTTTTGCTATATATAATGTGAATGTATAAGATGGATCTTGGTAATTGATTCATACATTTTTTCGATCAATGACTTAAGACTAAAAAATTCTCATGAAATCCATTTCTTCTTTTCAAATTCCATCTTCCCCGGGTGCCGCCATTTTGGAACATTTCAAACTTCGCGGGGTGTCTTTTTCCGACAACAAACTATAATTCATGCCATGAAGTAAATCTTAAGTAAATATTAAAACATCATATGTTAAAATGGAAATATTAAAACAATCATATTTCATTTTTATATTCCGATTGGAAAATATTTGATGAAATAGTTACTGCCCACAATGCACCCGCAAACATGTCTGCGCCCATGATAAACAACACATGAACTAACTATTCACCATATATATTCTGAACTCAGTAAGTATGAAACTTAACACACGTTAAAAATATTCCAATATTTTACACGGTCAAACTAACCTTTTTGATGGTAAGTAGTCCCTGAAGGCGTGGAATTAGGTTACTTATCAAAGTCCGGGGTAAAAGCTAAAGAAAACGAGGGGGAAATAAGCCCTTCCTGCGCTAGAAGTGCAAACTCTGCCCCTCCCCTTCCGCCACCCCTTTACAACTATACCTTGACATACATTTCACATGTCGATGGTTCTGCCTTCTAAATCTTGGTAACTAAGTAAAAGCTGAGAAGTGCTTCATAAATTACACACCTACTACCTAGTACTAATATTAATATACCCAATATATAAAAAAAATCTCTCGTCGTCAGAAAGCTACGTTATCGCAGCTAACCTACTACCTAGTGCATTCTACTGAACGCATGTAACAGCACCTACATTTTATGCATGAGTTAATTCCCTAGTGCTTCCTCACATATATAGCGTAACTGGACTGGGTCAATCGTCGGAGGGTCCTGGGTTGGAACCTTGGTCTGGCCATGCATTTTTCCGTTTCTACCACAAATATATCAAAATGAAATCTATAACATTTAGAAGAATCACGAAGTCCACATTTGGGTAACTAAAAATGCTACATGGACATTTTCATCAATGATGCGGCTATATTTACTAAACTGAACGCACATAGATTGTAAGACATGTAATGAAATGATAACTATTTGCAAGGTCTGTCAGAAAAATATTTCTGTCTGTGACATGATATATATACAGCCTTACAACAGCAATCACAATTTTTATTTTGAACAGTGGCATGCGTAGACTCCCAAAGAAAACAAACAATATCTTACATAAGGTACAGTGTATTTACAATAAGTAGTGTAGATATATGTTTGCTGCTATTTTGTTGATATGTCAAAGAATGGAAATCTTCTGAAAGAAAACATTATGAAAATTGTTGGTGCCTGCATGAGCAGTTATATATGAACCGTTCGTACTCAATAAACCAGAGTACTGATTTAACTGTTCAGGATATGCAGCTGTGAGAAAAGTGTTACATGCACTTTCAGATGAACACTAATAATATGCTTGTTGGGTGTTACCTATGTATCTGCAAGCAAACCAGATTGACACTTGATGTTTTCTATCAGCGTAATTTAACAGATTTCAAGCACTAATACCTTAAAACAAGTTATTTTCATTTCATCAAATTTGGCCCTCTGGCTTTTTAAAATGAGTTAGCCCAGTGTTGAATTCACCTATGACCATTAACTCTAACACCAACATTACTGACCAACCCTGATGTATATTAACCAAAACTCCTTATTTTAAATGTAATATTTTTACATTTCATTAAGAATTTGCACCATCATTAAGAGAGGGTAAAAAACTTGTGTCCTTGAAAATTTCCCACTTAACTGTACAATATATATTAGTCCATGTACAGGTACTGGTAGTGGTAATGAAGTTCAATAGCAAGGCTTGTGAAGTTTTGTTTGGTCAAAGAAATTTCAACAGTGTTTTGCAATTATCTGAATATTTACTATCTATTTGTGTAGATTGTCTACATCATTTAAAAAATTTGAAGGCTCGCAGAAATAAACATGATGTCTGAATCGGACGCAACAGCTGGAAATATAAATGGATTTGATGGGATCCCTGAAGGACTTGACTTGAAGAAGGCTAAAAACTGTCTGGATGATGTGCTGCATATGTCACTGAATTATCTCCCTTTCTGCAATGCCCATTCTAATGACTTCATCATTGACAATCACTGGGAAAACCACATCCCACCTGTAGTCAGAGAAGAACTTATGAACATGACAGACCAGCAGCTGTGTGACTTCCCAGCTAAATATATAGAAATGTTAGAAAATGATGGTAAGAATGTCGGTCACACGGATCACAAAATGGCTGCTGAAAATTCTCGATGGATCCACGAGGACCTTGATTCCTACCTGCAAGCAGCGTGTAAAACCAACTTAAAGTCACTTGATGTTTTGGTTGATATTGAATATTTGTTCAGTGAAACAGGATTGGTTAAAGACGTTCTCCAAATTCAAAATTTCATGACGGATAAGAAGTCGCATGAGGTGGACATCATGACCTGTGTGTGTTCCAGATTGGCCAGTACAACAGGGGCTGATGTGGTAAGTCTTGTTGATAGTTACAGTACTGTCAGGGATAAACCTTTTTGTAAAAGTTTGGGTCCTAAACATGTAATGTTTTGGTAGTACCATATAAAAATATATATAAAATATGTCCCCAGCAATGGTTTTGCTTCAAATTGATATTGAAACAGTGTGAAGACAGGAGTAATATGTGTGGACATTAGTGGTATAATATTATATATATACAGCCCAGAGAAATGACCTAAATAGTCCAGTTCCTGCTAAGCCTCGAGAAATGTTTCACCTGCCTGCACGGTCAAACCCCTGAAGTACACTATAGACTATAACTAGATCAGATATGAAATAACTATATAAACTATTTCTAGTACCTAAATATCACTAAGATATTAAAAAATACACAAGTTTGTCATGAAAATGGAGCAATGAAAAATATATTGTTGGAGCAATGTTTCATATCAACAACAAGTTTGTATGAAGGAAAACATATTAATGTGATGTAAATGTTATATACGAGATAATAATGTTTTCTGAACCAGGAGATAAATGGAAAAAAATGTTCTTTTTAGTTTGTAATTTTTTTTTATGAAAGTTTCTTGATTGTTAAAACATATGACATCAATTCCTGTCCAGCAATGCCATTATTTTTCAGATTGTTGACATAGGCAGTGGTAAGGGCTACCTCAGCACACAGCTTGCCCTCAAGTGTCACAAGACGGTCGTGGGCATAGATGCCCAGTTGATCAACACCAAAGGGGCCATAAGAAGGGCAAAAATCCTCACCAAGCAGTGGAATGGTCTAGTGCGCAATGCCAAGGAGCTTCATGACACTGGGACTGTCACAAAAAAGAGCAACAAATTCAAAAAGAAACTTAAGAAAGAAAGGATGTCTGCCAGTATGACAGAGGGAGAGGAAGATACAAGTAAAACTAAGATGGAGGAGGCTGGTCGGGAGGAGTTTGATGGACTAGGGACAATGTTTGGGGAGGAGGGCACTATAAGATTAACTGACAGTGCTGAGTGGAGTTTGGATCCAGTGACTGATCAAGGAGTGTCAAAATTGACAGATGTTGACAGACAGTCACCAAATACTACACCACAAGGCACAGATATGTTTGAAAATCAACCACAGTCGCAGATAAAGAAATCAACAAACTTTGAAATTGAAAATTTTAGTAACTTGACACTTGACGATGCAAAATGCCATGTAAGCAGTTCTTTAAACATTGGCGGTTCAACATCTAAAGTAAAAGACTGTCCTCCTAAAAAGGATGATGAAGCAGTTTCAGGCATCAGAGTTGAGAAAGAAAATTTGCAGTTAGATTCCAAAATCACGTCGAAGAAGAAAAAAAAGTCTTCAGACAAAGGACTAGGGCCTGGGACAAATCTCCCCTATATTCCTGTCACACTTTTTGTGGACACATCTATGGATCTTGTAGAGGTTGTGGCCGAGGCTCTCGCAGATCATCCGTCATCTCCAAGTAAATTCAGTGACAAACGAGGAGAAACAAACCTGATGTTAACTGGTCTACACACATGTGGGGCCTTGGGATCCAGCATGCTAGAGCTGTTTGTCAACAACCCCGCAGTCAAGGTGCTGTGTGGGGTGGGCTGTTGTTACCATTACATGGAGGAGAAGTTCAATCCAGACTGTCCACTTGTTGGTATGTACATGTACATTGCACATTATTCAATCACCCAATGTTAAAGTACTGTTGAAGGGTGGGAGGGTCAGAAGCAGTCACATACATTTATGTACTAGTTTTTGTTCAGTTCATGTGTAAGCTTTTACTTATTAATAACTAAAATGTTTTTTTGAAAGCTCAGTCCATAATCGGAACCTAATCTTAGTTAAGATATAACTTATTTTACCAGTATTTCTCAGGACCCTATCTGACTTACCTGTATTTCTCAATACCCTATCTTACTTACCTGTGTTTCTCAAGACCCTATCTTACTTACCTGTGTTTCTCAGGACCCTATCTTACTTAACCTGTGTTTCTCAGGACCCTATCTTACTTTACCTGTGTTTCTCAGGACCCTATCTTACTTTACCTGTGTTTCTCAGGACCCTATCTTACTTTACCAGTATTTCTTGGGACTCTACTTACTTTACCAGTATTTCTAGGAACCCTATCTTAATTGACAAGTATTTTTCTGGACCCTATCTTACTTTACCAGTATTTCTTGGGACTCTTCTTACTTTACCAGTATTTCTAGGGACACTTTATTACTTAACCTGTGTTTCTAGGGACCCTTTATTACTTAACCTGTGTTTCTAGGGACCCTTTATTACTTTACCAGTATTTCTAGGGACCCTTTATTACTTAACCTGTGTTTCTTAGGATCTCATCCTAGGTTGCTATGATGTATATTACTCAGTTCACTACATACATGTGTTTCTCACAGTATTTTAATGTTACTATCTACCAATATTTCCCGACCTTATCTTAACATAGTTAAGGTTATAATCTACTGGTACTAAAACAGTAAGTAATACATTTGTAACATGTTAAGATTACTAACTAAAATGTATATCTCCATTTTCACAGAGGACAGTTTCCCTGTAGGATTCCCAATGAGTCGGCATCTCATTAATAAGGAAGTGTACCTGGGGAGGAAGGCGAGGAACTTTGCCTCCCAGTCCCTCTACAGACAGGCACAGGACACTGAGGTATTCACCAAACAAACTGGATTATTCTGTTGGAATTGAGTCCATTAAGGATCCCTGTACCATTGCCAAAAAACTGTAACTAAGACTTGGAAACTGTTTTTTGTGGCATGACTAGAGCTTTGATAAATAATAGATATGAAATAAACAAAATATTAATCAAAAACAATGGTCTGAGTGTAAAAATGTTGCAGGCGAGACCTGATTTGAAAACTGGACCTCAGATTGCTATACTATTGCTCTAACTGTTTGAGCTACCTGGTCAACTGAAGAGGTATGGCCAAACAGTGCTACAGTTAAATCCAAACAGAAGTTAAGGGGAGGTTACTGTACATAGGAAAAACTGCAGTGCAGTGGGACAGGGATCCTTAAATGATGATTGTTTTCATTGAACAAGTAGAAAAATAGTAGAATGGATATTGTGTTGCTACCAACCGATGCTTCAACTCCAGTTCTAGATCACATGTGTACTAGATTCAAGGTAGCTTGTGTACCTAACCTTGACCTAGATCTAGGACAATGCCATCACCCAAAACGAATACAGATTGCTTTCTTAAAGGTACACTAACAACCTAGTTCCAGTCTTAAATTTCTATGTACCTGGTATATACATTTACCTATGTATGGCATTTATGTTATCTTACCAAATTTCAGTTGACATTCATGTCAGATATGAATGCCATGGCCTAATCGTTGAAATCAGTGTTATTGTGATATTGGATACAACTCACCCTCTCTAAAAGATGATACATACATTTATTTGAACTAAATGTTGAATTTTAAACATGCAGCTTTAAATTTTTGTGAGAAGAAAGAAAAAAATGTTAAAATATAAATATATTAAACCTGCTTTTAGTTGGCATTGATATCAACTTGAATGCCAACTGGATGATGACGTATGTAACATGAGACACTAATTTCATAAAGACTGATGCCAACAGAAAGTGGTTTAATATATCAATAATCTCTAGACCTCATATACAAAATCATATACTGTATAAGATTGATCTAATGAAGAATTGATTACTGGTATGTTAAATTGAAGCTATGTAATTACTTGCTGTTGTAGCTGTCATTTGCAACCTATCCTCGCTGTCTGCTGCAGAAGATCCTTTTGGATGTAGTCGGACACATAGATCCAGACTGGAAGGGTCTCCGAGGACTGGGGGGTATGACTCCAGACATGCACCAGTATGTTATGAAGGCATTTACCAGACTTGGACTTCCAACAGACAAGGTAATATATATTTCAAACCGTTTTTTCGTAATGACCATATTTTCACTATTTATATTCTTTAAACCCATTCACCCTTTAAGTCACATTTGAACCTTACCAAATCATAGACTGGGCAAGTCCAGTTTAAATATGTAGGGGTGAATGAGTTAAATTTGGGCAGACATTAAACTCCAAACAAACAATTCTCTACTTTGCCCAACACCCCCACAAAATAAGGGCAATATAATCTCTATGATGTGGAATACCTCAGTAAACAAGTTTCAGTGGCAGCTGTTAGGATGCTTTCTCCGGTTTGACACCGCTTTGTCGTGTTTCTACGGTTACACCTTGTATGAACTCATAACTGAAAAAATATTTTGTCACTGTGAACAAAACTGTCCTCCTTTTTCTCTAGATAACACCAGAGCTGGTTGAGGATTACTGCCACAGATATATAGAGGACAGGAAAAAGCTTGCAGCCTTCCGCCAACTCAAGTCCGTGTTAGCCCCCACCATAGAGTCGGTAGTACTGCTAGACAGGGCCTGTTACCTACTAGAACAGGTAAGAACGAGGAACATTACGATGAAGCAGATAAACCTCATTGAGTTGAATTTGCTAATTCCTCTTTAAGTTTTCCGTCAAACTGAATTTATTAAACAAATCTATAGTGGAATCATGTATTACAGTACTTCAATTTAATGAGATAATTTAAATTAGCAGAGTTCAAATGTGTAATCTATTTTAATAGACATCAGTTCCTTATAAAGCTGATTTAATTCTGAGTTTTGTGCTGAGGTTAAAAATCAGAGATAGTCAGGTTAAAATGTTTTATTTCTTACTTGGTACATTCGAACACTGCTCAATCCTTCAAATTTATTTAATTTTTTTTTCATGACACTCCGACAGAAATATCATGGAAACAAAGTGTTCCATCCAAAAGAATCAACAAATATAGTAATCTTTACAGGAAACAATAGAAATATAAGCATATTGCTGTCATTAACTTTATGTGATGTTTAGTATTCCTGCAGGTTCTTATCTTGATACATTGGTATTTATGTGATGTTTAGTATTCCTGCAGGTTCTTATCTTGATACATTGGTATTTTCCAGGAGTGTATCAGTCAAGTGTACATGGTCCAGATGTTTGACCCAGTTATCTCCCCTCGTTGCTATGGAATTGTCGCCATTAAGAAGACATGATGACAGCTCTCACCTCCTATACCTATGTACATAGCTTGTAACAATCTTTTTTGAATAAATAATTTCTTCTACATTCACACTTGGTCTTACTTTTCAGTAGTTTAAACAAGATTCTAAATACATAACGTATTTAAATGTTATATGTATGTTAGATACATATTTGTATTATTTCAAAACTTTCATGAAGCTATTGAGGTAACACATTTTCAATATCAAAATAGAAGATATTATTATTCTATCTTATTCTTAAAACTACAGAATATGGAAAATAATACATTCTGGAATCAAGTTTTGAGGTGCAACCAACAGTTTTTGCAGTAAAGCTTCTTTAATATAACTCCCTCTGTTTCCATGGCAAGTGACTGAGGTTGTTTGGGAAAAGGCAAAACTGTCCTGTAAAACACTATAAATAGTGGGACAGATGACCTAGTGGTGCCTTGACAGTACACAATGTATGTAATTACGTTGTATTATATAACACTTCTCAATTTCATTTTAGTTTTCTTTCATGTCACTCAGACAGGAATTAGTTGTTTGATAGAGTTTCAAGAATTAATTATATTGCTGGCTGTTTTTCAGGTTCTTGTTAGGATGCGAGATTGACATTGTTGGTGTGTGAGTCGCATCAACACACACAGAAGAATGGGGGACAGATCTGGGGCCCCAGACCCTATCTATGTCCTGCGCGGCTCAACCAGCCCTGTGTCCAGTCTGACCTTTCACCCCTCTGGCCAGCTTTGGTCAGGGGGTCTGAATGGGTATGTGCATTCCTGGAACATGGTTAGCAGGCGAACAGATTCTCACCTGGATGCCCATCATGGTCTGTCTGTGTCTTGGATAGAGTTTCTAGACTCTGGGAAAATGGTCACTCAGGGCCGAGATGGCTTTGTCCACTTCTGGTCACTTCAGGAATCACAACTGACCAACACAGGTACTCACCTCATATATTTGATCTGTGATATAATAAGTACACAATTAAATGTCTAAAATCCTTACAAGAATATTTTAACAATACAAACTGTTCCCATAATAGCACACCTAGCTGATGAAACTTGTCTTGATCACTATAGCCCTCCACCACTTCGTCGTGGGTTCGAGACCTTATGTGGGGCAGTCGCCAGGTACTGGCCACAGATTGGTGTTTTTTCTCCAGCAACTCCAGCTTTCCTCCACCACCAAAACTTGACACGTCCTTAAATGACCATAGCTGTAAATAGGATGTAAAACACAAACAAACAAAAGACACTTGTAAACTTAGTCACGTTTTTGCTTTAGATGATTCAGGTAATTAAATTGAACTTAATTGATATTATATGCGACAGGTAAGGGTTATATCTGAAAATAAACCTCTCTACAAAATGAACCTGTATAGTCGGGTTTCTTTCTTCCAAAGTGCAATAAGATAGTAAGGTACTTAACCCTTTCACCCCTAGGTAACTTGAGTAGACTCTACCATACATTCATCTGGATGAGTCCATTATGGTATACAGTGGTGAAAGTTGCATATTGTTATACATTTGCATGATGACATCCCTCACAAGAAGAACTAACTTTATAATGAAGACTTTGTGAAAACCAAACACTTTTAACTGTATTTCTTTTGTTCCATTATAGGTAGCCTCACATCGAACCAACAAGGATTTTGCGCTGGCTGTGTCCTGGCGACAGACAAGGGTCACTCCGTACTAGCAGTCCCAGGGAGAGAAACGTCCCAAGTGGACATAGTCGATGTCCCTACTCGTAAAAATATAGGAAGTTGCGTCCCTAAGTCTGGGACAAAACTGGGGATGTGTATGGCTCTCTGTAAAACTGAAAATGACTCTCAGCTTGTTATTGGTTACGAGGATGGATCTGTGGCATTATGGGATATCCGTACGTTTACGATGGTCGACAAATGTTCCTTGTACCCAGAAAGTATAATGTGTGTTAATTACAATTCTCAAGTGAAGAAAGGGGCTGCTGGGTCTGTTGATGAAAGACTAGTGACCTTCAGTTTGACCTCTGACAGTAAAATTGAAACAGGACGTGAAATGAAGGCAACAAATCCAGGATTTAATCAGACACTGTTTCGAAGAGACGGTAAAATTTTAGCTACTGGTGGTTGGGATGGAAATGTGAGATTATTTAGTGGTAAATCATTAAAACCGTTGGCTGTATTGACCTACCACAAGGAGAGTGTTCAGGCCCTAGCCTTCTCCACAGACAGTATACTGGCCTGTGGGTCAAAGGACCAGCACATCAGCCTGTGGGATGTCTATAGGTGATAGAAAGAATGAGAAATTACGCGTTAATAATGTAATTTTGTGTCCTTTGTGATCATTTGCATGCTAGATTGATTTCGTCAGTGACTTTATTGTTTGATTGATTGTGTCCTGCCAGTGACTCGACTACTGAAGAAAGATTGAAACATGATCAACACATGATAGGAATCAAATACGAGACATCGCTGTGATAATGAAATCAATACGAAAGAATCAATTGTTTAACCTGTATACAGTGCAAGTTTGATGTGTATTTTAAGGGTTCTTCACAGTTGGGTCAGTCTGCGAATCAAAGATATGCATTTCTTGTCAAGTAAAAATATTCTGAAGTAATACTACAGACTGAATAATCTTTTCAATAAAAACTACAGATCTGATAATTTTTTCTGGTAATAAAAAACAAAATACAGCTTAGCACAAAGTTGTATTTTTCCACCATTATTTTTGTAATGATGTAAAACTGTATTGATACTTTTTTTTATAAAACTGCTTTAATTCTCTTCAATATGATTCATAGATTTGGAAATATGTAATATCAAAGTTCTTCTTTACACACAATGCACATATTAAACATGTTGCAATGTTTCAAGACTGACTGGTTCTTTTGTCAAGCTATGACTGCATTTTAATTATCTTAGCATTTTCTCCACCCTATCGAAATCCTGAGACAAAAACTAGCCTCTACAGTACTCCAGACCCTCTACTGAGCTATAGCTGCCAACGTGTGATTCCTGTGGATCAGGCATTGTAAACATCCAATTATTGCACATACATACCGTATAACACAGGTGATAAATACTGAAGGGAGGGCTTGTTACCAGGCAATGACCGCCTTCCCTAATACCTGAAAAGTAGGTATCACAGTGCATATGCATGTCACAGGTAAATTATGGTTCTTATTGTGCTGTATCCATAGATTCAATTATTGTATGTACATCAGCATCCAACCCTAGTAGGAAATAGTAATGGAAACAGCTCCGTATCTGAAACGCCGGAATTAATACTCAAAATTGCTTGGATTGGTGATAAAATCTCCCAGTTTGGTGAGACATCTCTCCAGAAATACAATTATTTTATTGTTAACAATAGAGGAATAATGTTCACTGTGAAACTCAGAAACACTGTGTTATGGTCCAGCAGATTGTTAAAATTCTTCAAGTATTTACCAGGAAAAAAAAAAAATAGGAACAATTTCTTTATCCCACAGCAGTCAGGAATATTGATTGGCAGATTTTTCAATGTTCGGCCTTGAGCCGCCAGAACCTAATCATGAAGATATAGATCTGACTACAGCATCATCTCAAGTGAATACTTAATTACATCTGTAGCTTGTTCTTTTTCTAAAAAAATATAATTCAGCAACCCACAACATCCTGTGGGTAATAATTACATTTCTGTAGAAAATTTATCAAGTCCGCCAATGCATGCAGTCATACAAATGCAATATCGTTGTTCACTCCTCAAATGAGACATAAGCATATAATCATGGACATCAACAACCAAATACAATATCATGTTGGAAACTCTAAAGAAACCACTGGGTGTCCATGTTTAAACACAAGCATTTGCTCTTCAATGCAATACAAGAGGATTCTACTAAAACTGTTCCTGATGACATTTCGAAACCAGCTTGGAAACATCATAAAATTATTGATGATGTAGCACAAATTTGACTCTAGTCTTGTTCCTACAGATAGTCATGACTCTCTGGTAGTTCTAGACTCTAGTCTTGTTCGTACAGATAGTCACAACTCTCTGGTAGTTCTAGACTCTAGTCTTGTTTGTACAGATAGTCACGACTCTCTGGTAGTTCTAGACTCGAGTCTTGTTTGTACAGATAGTCACGACTCTCTGGTAGTTCTAGACTCGAGTCTTGTTCGTACAGATAGTCACGACTCTCTGGTAGTTCT